CCCATGAATAGCTAAGAGACTTAGGCACCATAAATCACAAAGCTCCAAAAAATATATTTATTATTCTTAGCATTTTACGCATTATTTGTGGAGCAGAGCGTATTAGAAATTTCAAAACAGCAAGCATGACTGGCAAGGCTTGCCTATAGAAACTCTCAAAAGCTTTTAGAGTCAGGAAACAGATACACAAAGTTTCCTTATCTTTAACGTACAGATATCCGGATAGGAAACTACTACCAGGAGCTTAGAAAGGACTTTTTTTTTTTTAAATCACTCAAATGAAAATACAAAGTATAGGTGACTCCATGGAAAAATAATAGGAATTTTTTTTTTAACAGTAGGGGATTGTCTGGGGAGGGAACCAATATTAGTATTGCCAGGGAATATAAGAGTGAAAATTACTTCATGGCTTTTATACAAATAATTATTAAGTAAGGAGCAGTAGCTTTGACTCATCTGATTTGTTTTGCTTTTTTGGAGCTGGAACTTTTTTTTTTAGTACACGGTGGAGGACATTCACGCTCATAACCCTTTCGCTCCCGGTATGTGCCCAAAATGTCCCAAGAGGCCAAATAAATGAGGAATTAAATTAAAAGCTGTCATCCGAGGATAAACGGGGAGACGGATACACGATATCCCGCGTGCATTGTGAGCGGCGGGGAGGCTCGGGACAGAGGCGCTCGGCGGCGCGGTGGTCTGAGCCGGGATGGGGGTGGAGGGGGGAGATCTGCCCCGAGGCACGGCAGTGACCTCGCCGTGACTGACCCCCGTGTACAGTACAGCTCGGCTCCACGCAGGGGCTGAGCAGAGATGAGACTCGTTTGACTTGTGCCTGTGTGTGGTCCCTCTGCCTTATTTATCCCCAAACCCAGGAGAAATAGAGACACCTACCAGCCTCCGCTTAGGTTTAATGAGAGGTCGGTTTTGACCGTTCATTTTGTGGTAGAGCCCGCAGGCGTTACACAGGTAATGCCCAGTGCCGTCTCTTCTCCAGAGAGGGGTAGCAGTTGCTCCGCAGTTCACACACTCTCTGCCTTCTAAATGGAAACACGAAGAAACCGGATTTCTTTCTTTAAAAACAAATTCACAAAAGCTTTTTGCATTGTCCTTTAGGCGTTTTTCAGAAGTCAAAACAGTGTGTTAATTCAAGCACATTCAGACAGCAGTGACATCTACAGCACATGCAGCAAGGAGCTCGGTGTTTCGAGAACTCCCAGACTCCAGTGAGTATTTTATGTCATGATCAGAAATGGGCAGCACTCTCTGCAAGGTGAGAAAGAGTGACACTCTTATTGTGTCAGATGGAAGTTATCGTTTCAGTAACAAGAACTCCCTTAGTCTGCACTGGGCACCGCTCCCCTCCCGTATCTATTGCACTCCGGTGGTTAGATCCTGTGTTCTCCTGCCACAAATACACACGTACACGTGTACACAAACACACACACACCTGCAAACCCTCAACATGTTAAAGTGAGAGTCAAAGGAAGAGGTTTTCTGGGATTAAATCTAAGCAAAAAGACCTCCCATTCTGTGCTTTCTTTTTTGTTGCAAATGCTACAGGATGAGAAAGTAGAGCCGAGCAGACTGGGAATGGATACAGAATGCCAGAGGCTCAGTTATTATTTTTGTTCTAAAAGCAGAAAAACGCTGTTAATGCTGATCTTTGGGAAAGTTCAGTTTCAACAAGCACTCTGGAAATTACTGTAAAAAAACAGGCTTTGAGTGCTTTTCTTTTTCTGTGACTTTTCAACAATCCAGTTTGAATTTGGTAGGGAGCAGTTTACCTTATTACTGCCTCGTTATTAGTTTTAGTAGCACAGTTTGCTAAACACAGCATTGTAGAAGGCTGTTTTAAATAAAACCCAACATACAACTTCTAGGTATCCGTTTCTGCCTGTGAAAGCTCTCTGTTAAAAGTTCATTTGCCTTGGATGGTTCGAGGGCAGGTCTGCTTAATATAGAAATCTCTCTTAATATAGTTTATGCAAATCCTACAGTATTTAACTGGATAGGAAATTCTTTTTGCTAATAACTGAAGCAGGCCATGTTGAGTTCAGCAGGGCTTGTGTCTCCTTTAATCTAGGGAGTGGGTAGCTTTTAAACAACACAGTCTAGAGTGAAAAATGAGGGGAGCTCTGCGGCGCTGCATTTGTAGCTTTTGTCCCTCCTAGGGCAGGAAGCTGCAGGAGTCGTTGTGTCGTGAGTCTTAGTTTTCCTACAAAAACACTGAGTGGTCACGAACTTTCCCCAGTTCCTTGCACTGGGAGCTCCCTTACAGAAGAAAAAAAAAAGGCAACTGTAAAACAAAACAAAAAAAGCTCCTTGCTTCCCCCATCTAAAAATCATTGGCGGCTACAGGACAAAAATAAAAAAGCTACTCAAGATCCATCTATCTTCAGAGACCTAGATCTTGAATTAGTTTCTAAACTCAGAAGGTTCAGGCTGCCAGTTGCCTTTATTTTCTACTCTCTGCACTACCAAAAAATAGATACACACAGCAGCAACTGCCTTGAAAGAGTGGCAAAGAAAGAGTGTATTTTTCCTCTCAAAGGAGCCATTTGAAACAGAGCTGATGAGCTTGTAAAATAGCTGGTATTTTTGTTGCAAAACTCTTAAGAGATCACATTTCTAAATTATTGTTTACTTAAATAAAAACATGTAGTGTACTCACAAGCAAATATGTGCAATGGAATACATGCACTAACACCTATAGAGCCATGTATTTTTAAGTGTTGTTTAAATTCAGTCTCAATATATTTTAATTAATCTCCTTCCATTGGTGAGGATGTCAAACAAGGAAGGTCAGAAGAATTACACAAATTGTCTTAATTTATCTGTCCAGTTGTATAACTACTGTGATTTCAAAGTGAGATCAAAACTTGGTCCATCGCCTAACGTGCTGATTTAGGACTGCACTTTTAGGACGAAATGCAAGGAGTGGTTGTGAACACGGGAAAGGTTTGCAGGCAGTCGTTTGTAAGCAAAGATATGTCTGGTTCAGGGGCAGGGGGAAAAAAGAGTATTTTCTAATTAAAGTTAGGCTGGAGTAAGTTAGCAATGACTGGACACCTTAGTCTTTTGCACTGGTATGTAAACTATATTTGAACTTTTACTCTTGTAAAATGTGCAGGGAAGAAGGCCCTCGCGATCTGAAGGGGACCCGCCAGGGAAGTTTCGCTTTCATCCTGTGCTGGGGCCTTGAGTGCCGTTAATGAAGAGATATGGAAATTATGGAGGGAGAAATACCTATCACAGGGAAGTCCCCACATGTCATCTACAGGGGTTTGCCTGATTTGGGGGAGCAGTGTCGGGCCTGAGCCCCTCGGGAAGCTGAGGCCTGCCTGTCTTCGAGGAAAACTTTTTTTTCCATCTCAATCCCTCTTTCTACAAAGCTCTGCTGGCTCAGACTGCCCCGGCCCCGTGCCCCGCGGCCCCTTCGAGCGCTCTGGGGCCGGTGCCCGGGTGCACTGGCACCCGCAGGAGCCTGGTCCAAGCTCCCTCTCCTAGTTTAAAAACCCAGAAGACCGGGACCAAGCAGTCACCCTCCCCTCCGTCCCGAAGGGCCGACACAAGCACCCAGCCTCGCAGCAGCCCGCACCCTCACCCCAAGAGCCAGCGCAGACACCCACCACCCGCACCCGGGACGCGGCCGGTGCGCAGCGGGGAGGCCACGGGCTGCGACACTTACCCGAACAGGACCTGGCCTTGCTCCGCGGCTTGGGGGTGAAGCTGGACGCGGGGCCCCCCAGGAAGCTGCCCGGGTGGAAGAGGCTGCTGCTGTAGTCGTGGGCTGCCGGCACGTAGGAAGGGTAGGTGGGGATGGGGTGGTGGGTGGAGGGCTGGGCCCCCATGCTGGTGAGGCTGCTTCTGAGCGGGCTGGCGCTCTCCATCTTCATCCCCTCCGACAGCGACACTTGGTACTTGATGCTGTCTTTGTCCTCCTGCCGAGCCCCGGCAGAGGAAGAAGGGGAGGCGGCACTGGTGGAGTTGGGGTCCGGGGACACTTCCTTGGGTGGGGTCGGGGGGAAGCCGAAGAGGTGGGAGCCGGAGTGTGAGGCCGGGGTGAGCGAAGACACGGAGGCGGTGCTGGAGGTGCTGCTGCCCGGGTACACTGAGATGGCCCCAGGCGCTCCGGCTGCCGAGGGGTGCAGGGGTGTCTTGGTGAAGGGGCTGACGGTCCAGGGGTTGTGGTGATGGGCAGACAGTGCCGCCTTGCTGCTGTCCAGCCAAGGGATCCCCGGGCTGTGGATAAGATGAGGCCGGCACATTTGACTCCCGGTCAGGCGGGCTGTAGAAACACAAGAGCGATTAGGATCAGCGTGGGGCGGCTCAGCCCGGAGCGGCTCCCAGAAGTTCCCCAGCTCCCCGTGGCTGGGCAGCTCCTCAGTCTCCGGGCAGCCGAAGGACAGCCGGCCACGGGAGAGACTTTCCAACCCGGGGAAGAGCAGCCAGGCTGACGCAGCAGCCCCTTCACCCTGTCCCAGCCGAGGGAGATATCAGCCAGCCTGGCGAGAAGGAGCAATGGGAGCAGGAGGGGGACCCAAGAACTCCCCTTCCTCCCACCCACCCCACCCCTGGGAATAGGCAGCAAACCCCTTTCTGCTTTATCTTCTGAGCTCTCATAACGCACTCTCTTCGGCTCCTAAAAACACCCCCAAATAAAATCCATCGCCGGTTTGAATCGGTTTGTATTTTGCATCCGGGAAGTAGCCGTGTCTGAGAAGTTTTTGCCTGTGCGCACACTATTTCCCCTTCCTCTCTCACCCCCCCTTTCTTTCCCTCCCCTCCTCCAGTCCTTGGTTATCCCTAGGGTTAAAATCCACCCATGCCTCCTTTTCTATCCTGTTTTAGATCTCCTTTTCCCTGGATCCGACACACCGAAGCGGCCCTGAGTGAAACTTCTTGCCCCTGCACAGGACGCCCGCTGCCAGTACGGTGGGGCCCGGAGCCCAGGAGGAGACGGCGGGGAAGGGGCCGGGGGTGCTGATTTACCGTGTGCCTGGCTGTAGGAGACCCTGGCCCGGGCATGGGCGGAATTGGCGTAGTAAGGGTTGCCCTGTGAGTCCAGGTGGTTGAAGAAGACGTCGACTTCATCCGGAGGTAGGAGCTGCGCTGGTTCCATGTAGTTGTGAGCCAGTCCGGGGTGGTGGCTCTCGGGGTGCTGCCCGTTGAGCACGGCGTGGTGGGCCATCCAGCGAGGCTGGTCCGTGGCCACCTCCATGGCCTCGGGCCTCCCCTCCCGCCCACCCCCGGGCCAGGAGCGAGTGGCGCTCGGTGGGGGTGGTGGTGCTGCTCGTGGGGTGGCTTTTGGCTCTGGTGGTTGGTTTTAGGAGATGGGGTAGCTTTTCTTAGAAAAAGAACCGCCGGGTGACTGGAGCGCACCCTCTGAGGGGATGAGGGGAGGACCCCCGAAGTCAGCGTGTCCCTCTGTCAACAGGCGGGTAGCGTAGGCAGGTCCGGGGAAGCGCCGGGGCAGCACCTGTAGGGAGAGACGGGAGGGTTAGCGGCTCGGCAGCCCGGGGTGCGCTGCCTGCCGGACCGGCTCCCGGCAGGGTTCTTTTCCCAGCGGTGCAAGGATGGGGAGGGGGAAGCAGAGCCCCTCCCCCCTTCCAAAAATATCCTCTCCCCAAAAGTCCTTGCCTTGCGCCCTCCCTGCTCATTGCCCCACAAAATAAACAGAGATCCCATTCCAAACTCTTTACCAAAAACAACATTAAAAAAAAAAAGAAAACCCAAACCAAAACAGAACAAAAACAAAAAGAAAGAAAAAAAGGAAAAAGCTTTCTTCCCCCCCACTCCCCGCTCTCGCTACAAACGTCAACAGGAGTTTTTCCAGCTGGCTTCAAAAGAGGAGTAAAAAGGAAAAACGGCAGAACTAATACAGCGTAGTTCTAGCAAGAACTTCGACTGACACAAAAGGAAAAGGAGGAGGAGAAATGTGGAAGGGAGAGAGAAGAAGACCGGGGACAAGGGTGTTTAGAGAAGGCAGCGAGTGCGCCCTGGCAGCGGCGCGGCGACCCCCCCGCCCTCCTCCCTTGTCCCACACTTACCCGGCGCGGGAGGCTGGGTGGCGATGGATGCCGGCGTGGAGGATGCGAGTGCCGGGAAGAGGGGGAGAACGGAGGGGAAATAAAAAAAGCGAAGAAGGAGAGGAGGGGGCAAAGGCAGAGCGAGCGCGGGAGGAGGAGAGGAGGCTGGATGGAGGGTGTTACTCAGATGGCAAAGCCGCTGCTCTGGCCGGCTCGGTCCCATCCCCGCGCATCCTATATGAGCGCTGGCGCCAGCTGGCCGCGGCGCCGCAGACGGGCCGGGGCGCGCAGGGCCGGCGGCCGGGCCAGCCAATCCCGCCGTCCCACACCGCCCCCAACCGCACCCCCGGCCCCAAACGGAGCCGGCCCGGAGGGGGGAGAGGGTGGGGAGGACGCGGCAGACCCCCTCCTTCGCCCCCCTTCCCCCGCTCGCAGCATGCTCGCCCGGCAGCGCCGTTGGGGGCTTTCCCCGCCCGGGCGCTGCACGCCCCTGCGGGGCGGGGACGGCAAAATAAGGGGGTCCCGCCGGGGTGTGCGGGGATGCGGAGGGGGGCGAGGGAGGACGGAGTGCGGGAAGAGCTCGGCGATGGGGTCGGCTTCGCCGGGTGCCGCCGAGCCGCGGCTCCCGGCGCCGCCGCCGGGATGCCCGAGGCTGGAAATCGGCACCGGGGAGATAAATACGCTAAAATCCTTTAAACCAGGCAGAGCAGGACGCAGCCGGGAGCGAGACAAACCCCACCGTGGTCGTTCCCATCACGTTAGTTTAAAATAACTGTCCGGATCGGAGAAAAAAATAATTAAAAACAAATAATTGCGAGGCTCCGCGACAGCCCCGGGGACCGGCGGGATAAGCAGGGCCTGGCCGGCGGGGTCGCACCGGGCCGGCTGCGGGGCAGGGACGGACCCTATCTGCTCCCCGGCCCGCAGCTCTCGGTCCGGACCTAGGCTGGGGTTTCCTGGCCACTGTGGGCCCGGGGAGCCAAGCCGGGCCGGGGCAGAAGGGCGCTGGGACCGGCTACAGCCTTCCCAGCGGGGCTGCGGCGGCCGCAAACACGCTTGTTTTTCCATTCTCCCATGTTTTATTAAAAAAAAACATAAATAACGAAATAAACATCACAGTTTTAATATTTGCAATGACTTGTGTGCTCTGGGCCGGGGAGCAGAGGCGCATCCTAAATCAACAGGCGTTTTCTGTGGAGTTTGCGGTGCAGCTCAGCGGCAGCAGCCGGGGTGCGGGTCGGACTCCGCCACTCCTAAAGGTGTGGGTAAACCCGTCCGCTTTTGGGGCGGAAAATATTAATAATAGGAAAGTCACAATTAACTCCCCGGAGCGCGGCCGGGCGCTGCTGCAGGTACCGTTTCCCAGGCGCTCCTCAGCCGCTGCTTTAGGGGGAAAAGGGAAACGCTGGTGGCATTCCCTCAACCTTCCGAGCTGGGCGCGGGACGAGGACACTGCCCCTGCCTGGGGAACGGGGCAGGGGCGGCGGGGAGCAGCCCCTCCACTCTCCGGGCAGCGGCCGCGGCTCCAGCCCGACGGCGCGGCCGGGGCAGGGGGCGCGGGAGCCGGTCGGGGCTGCGCCGGGCCCCACGGGGATATTGCGGGCGGGGGGAGCGGGGCGGCCCCGGGGATGCTGCTGCTGCCCCCGGGGCCGCCCCCGCGGCGGGCAGCGCTGGGGGCTGGGAGCCGGAGCCGGCCTCCCCCGGCCCGACCGCCCCAGTCACTACGACGCCGGGGCTCTGACGTCACCCGTCACTGCCAAATTCGCCAGGAAATGAACTTTTTTTTTTAAATAATAACAATAATAATAATAATGATGACGGTAATAATAATAAAACTCCCTTTCCTCGCTGCGGAACACGTCTGGCCGGAGCGACATGGGGCTCCCTCTCTAACTATTCTTTCACCACCACCCGTTGTCCCCACAGAACCTCCCCCCAGGGATCTCTCAACGCAGCCCCCCGGGGGGACCCACAGCGCAGCCCGGCGGGGCGGGGGAGCGGGGGCCGGATTGGGGGAACCGAAGGCTGGGGCAGGGAGAGTAGATTATGCTCCCCCCTCCCCTCATCCTTTCCTCTGAAGCCTCCTGCACCCAAAGCCCGGGTTGTCCCGCTCGTCCCGGCACCCTGACCTCGGGGCTGCGCGCTGGCGCCGGGGCCGCGGCGCCCCTCGCCCCGTCCTGCCGCCGGGGGGGTGGTCGCAAGTGGTGGGGCCGGGCGGCAGCTCCTCCGGCGGCTGCCGGGCGCGGAAGGGGCGGTGGAGCCGGCTTCTCCCGGGACGGGCTGGTTGGCCCGGGCAGGCCGGGAACAGGCGCTGGGCCGGGCTTGGTGGGAGAGGGGCCGGGGTTCGGGAGGGCAAGTGCCCCCCGCGCTATGGAGCGTGCCCAGGAGCGTTGGGCCGGTATTGCCCGGGAGGAAAGGGAAACAAAGCATAAATAAATTTTTTAAAAAAATTATTTTAAAAAAAGGAAAGTTAAAAGACAGAGAGAAAAATCAATCGAGGTTTCTGAAAATCCGGCTTCCTCCCTCCGAAGCGATTTTTTTTTCTACAAGCACCAAAATCACATAAAATATCGCCCCAAAACGGATTTTTTTACGTTTTGAAAGAAAGGTGAGTATAAAATAAACTCATGCGGTTGCAGGTAGGTCCCCTCGGCGCCTCGTTCTACCCACAGCCGGAGGCTACCGGGGCCGGGGCGGGCCGTGCCCGGGGGGTCCCGCCCGATGCAGCGGGGCAGGGATCAGCCGGGCCCCGCCGGCTCCGGCTCCCGCTCCCGGCCGGCAGCAAAACCCAGTGCCTCCCTACACCCTTATTAATATGGATATTTTAATTACTGCCCTCCTGCCATCAGCACGGGGCCGCGATTTTTGGTTTTGTTTTGGGGTTTTTTTTGGGGGGGGGGGGAGTGGGGTGGGCTGTTTGTTTTAGACAGGTGATAAAATCGCAGTTAACGAGCTGATAATTCGTTCGTGTTTGTTTTAAAAGACAAATTGTAAAGATTAATCAGGCGGCTTGATTTATGGCGAGGCAGACCCCGGCGCTGCCCGGCCAGGGCTCCCTGAAGCCCCCGTCTCGGGTTACCCGGGGGCCGGCAGGCGAAGCAAAACAAAAGGGGCGAGCGGGCGGCGGCGGCGGCTCCGGCCGCGCCGCCTCGGGACAGGATCCCCCGGCGCCCACGCCACCCCCGGGCCGGGGGTCCGGCTGCCACCTCCCCGCTGCCGGGTGCTGGCTGCGGCCGGCGCCTCTCCTCGCACCCACCTCTCGCCTTCTGCACCCCCATCCTATTAAACCCCTTCGCAAAATAAATAACCCCTCCAGCAGGAATGAAGGATTTCTGCCGAGACACCTGGCTGAGCTGGGAGGTTTCCTAGCCAGCCGGCTCGCAGTATTTTGTTTTATTTTATAATTTTATTTTATATATTTTATTATTATTCCCGACCTGTCCCATCCCCGCTGCCTGGATTTGGCGAACCGGCTGCCGGCTCCGGTCTCGGCCGCTGAACGCCCCGGCGGCACGGCTGAGGTTTTTAATTGAATTAATTCACCCACCGGGAGCAGCAGCGAACCGCACTGGCTGCTGGAGGCGAGCGGCTTAGCTCCGCTCCGCAGCCCGCCGCTCACACGGCTGGTTAAGCAGCTCTTCCCTCAATTTTCTGCCAAGCCTCCCGGGAGAGGGTCCGGCCGGGCCCCGCTCCCGCTAACCCCCGTTTACCTTCTTTCCCCACTTTTCCCCCCGGACACTACGGGCTCCGTTTTATTAACTTTGTTTTGTTATTGCCGTTGCATTTTATTTTTCTCTTTTAATAAGGGAGCTTTCCCAGACCTGGAAGCACAACTGGTTATTTTGATTTGATTGACAAGTGATGTCATATCGTTAAGGGAGGGGGGAGACGACAACATGTTTTAGCAACAGTTAGTAGCGCCATGTGATGGAGGTGACATCTATTCCTGGGCAGAGGCGAAGGCAGAAAACAAATACCCCGGCGCCGCACACGGACCATTTATTTACACTCCTGAAGAGGGGTTTCCTCCTCTTTTTTTCCTTCCCCCCCCCCCCCTTCCTGGGTGCTTGGACCTGGGAAAAATTGTACCTGAGGAAGCGGGGGTGGGACTCGCAAACCCGAGGGCACATTCCTCCAGACACCCCTTCCTGGGGTGCCCTCGGCGACCCCCCGAAAGACACGCTCCCCACCCCCGCTGCCCCGTGAACGGAGACCTGGGGGTCGAGACCTCCCGTGCAGCATTCCCCACTCCTCACTTCGTGAGGTGCAACCCTCCGCCGCAAGCAGGGAGGGCAGGAAAACTCCGTGAAAAGAAAGAAAAAGAGCGCTCAGCGCTCAGTCCCGCACCGGGCCGCGGCGCTCCCGGTGCCTGCGGGCGATGTGCGAGGCCGGGGCGGGCCGGGGAAGGCGGCTGCCCGCCGGCGGGGAGGGGGCTGGGTGGGCCCGCTGTGGGCGTATCGCCCTGGCCCCCCGCCCCGCCGCAGGTTGGGAACCAGCCGGCTCTGCCAGCGGCTGCCGCCCGCAGGTAGGAGCCCCGGGCACCCGGCCCCGCCGAGCAGCCCCCCGCCCCGCCCCGGGTTTATTTCCTTGGATGGGATTTTTTTGGGAGGGGAAGTTCTTGCTTTCTGAGTTTTTTTCTTTTCTTTTTTTCGGTGTTTTCCTTCCTCTGCTCTTGTCTCCGCTTTGCTTTTCTTCTCCCCCGGCCCCCCTGTCCTGCGTTACTACCACGTATTAATGGCTCCTAATAGGGTTATAAAGTGACACAGTTACCTCGTAACCGCACGACCCTTCTTTAAATTGCATTGAGGAAAAACAAAGAGAAAAAAAAAAGCGAGAGATACGGCTCGGGGAATAAATCGCGGAAAACTTATTTTTTGTTTGTTTCTGTAAATACGCTATCCCTCATCCCGCAGACGATTTCTGCGGGGTATGTTCCCCACGGTGGGAACTCTCGGTCCCAGCCTCGCCCCTGGCACACTCCCGCACACGCCTTCACCTGCGCTTTGTCCGCAATTTGCCTGGTGCACACCACCCCCGCAGCTCGTTCGGCTGCAAATAAAGGGGAGGAAAAGCCTCAAGTCGACCCCAGTCTGCCCACAAAACCGCCTTTTGTGCAAGTTCCCGAAGTGCGGGGGGTAGGGAGGGTTGCACACGCACCGCTTTGTCCAGAAAAAGGTATAATTATTTTTTTCAGGCGCTGCTAGGAAAGATTTCGTTCGTAGGATCTCGCTTTAATTTTTTTATATGTATTTTTTTCTTTCAAGGTTATTTCGGGAGCAACTGTTGCAAGAGGGAGGACAGAGGCCGATCCCGCAGGTTTGATTTGTTCCTCCTCAGACAAAACTTTGCTGGGGAGGGACTGGCCCGGCACGGGGAGCGGGGCTTGACTAGTGCCCGACACCGGCAGTGTCTGTGGCCGCCTGTCCCTGCGAGCCGCGGGGCTGAGCCAGGCCGGGGCTTAGACTTCGGAGGAAAAAAATAAATAATTGCGTTTAATAAAGATGCTTCGTGCTCTGGGGAAGAACAATCCCCGCGGCCGAAACTCGCACCCCCTTAGTGAAATCGCTTTTCTTATTGAAATCATCTCAAATCCAGGCAGGCTCCACTCTTGGTCGCTTCTATTTTTTTTTTTAATTTTTTTTTTTTTTTTGCCTTCCAGCCTCAGCACCCCAAAGCAAAAGGAGGATAAAGAGGGGAACTTTGCACATACAACAACAGAAAAAAAAAAAGGCGAGGGGGGGTGAAAGAGCCGGCGGAGAGGAGCGGCCGTGTCCCCGATGTGCCTGGGTAATTTTAAATCATGCAAAGCCCCGTAAAGCTGCCGCACGGGACTGGGACGGGAAGACTCCCCGGCAGGCAGGTGCAGGGAGAGAGGGGCCGGGCCCTGCCGGCTTTCGGGGCAGAACAAACCCTCGCATCTTTTTTTTTTTTTTTAATGCCCAAATCTGCCAACAAAAGCAGACAGGAGATAGGATGTGGCTGCGGGGAGGGGGCGCAGGACTCCGCACACCCTGTCTCCGGGAAATCTCTGCCTGGCCGCCCTGGGTGAAATGCAACTTTCCAAGATGGAGATTTAAATAATCATCCCGATGACAATGGGAAAGAAAAAAAGAAAAGCAAAACCAAAACAAAACAACCAATCTCAGACCCAACCACGGCCCGGCAGCCCCGCTCCCCGCGGAGTGCGGTGCGGGAGCGGCCCGGGCGCGCTCCGCCGCCGGGCAGAGCCGGGGGAGCCCCGCGGTGCCCCCGGGCGCTGCACCGGCCTCAGCCCGGCCGGGCGGGAGGCAGCAGCCCGGGAGGTATGGCCGTGCTGGGGACATTTTTTCGTTCTTTACAAACCCTGCCAGGTTTGCCCCTGGGGAAAATCTCTCCGGCAGCGGGACCCGCACCTCGATGCCTGCAGGGCCGACCCCGGGCCGTGCAGAGCCGCGCCGCCGAGGCCCCTTACCTTGCCTTTCGCCCGTCCTCGTTTTCCTTGCAGTGTTCCGCCCGGTGCCTGGAAAGCGCCGGCTGTGCTCCTGGCGGGGCCGTTCCGCGGGCTGGGGAAGGGTCCGGCCACGGGAGCCTCCCCGTCTGCCCGCGCCGGGAGCGCGGCTGTGCCGCGGGCGGAGGGTGCGCGCAGCCCGGCGGAGGGGCTGCCGCCGTGCGCGCTGTTGAAAAACTGGCAGCAGTTTCGAGCTGAGCCCTTTTTTTTTTTTCCTCCCTTCCCTCCTTCCCCCCTTCTCTTCCTCCCGCCTCCCTCCCTCTCCTTTCCTCTCTCCCTTCTTTCCCTCCCCTTCTCTCCCTCACTCTCCTACATTCACGGATGGCACAGCGAGCCACTGTGTATTTATGTACATAATAAGGCAGCTCGTCCCCTCCACTTCATTTGCATCATTACAATATCTGTACAAGCACATCACATTGTCTGTTGCTTGCACCTTTTGTTACGGTTGCTGTCACAGTCTACGCGACTTGACTTTCATATTTTAAATGAATTGATATTATACCAACAACACACACTCACATCCCAGGCGCTGGGAAACCGGGCTCCGGCGCGGCGGGCGCCGCAGCCCCAGCCTCTCCTGAGCCGCTCGCTTCTTCCTCGGATCCCAAGGAACGCAGGGTGGGGGGAGCCGCTTCCTAGGATCAATTATTCGTATAAATTATTCCTATTCATATGAATTTTGTTTCCACTCTCTAATGAAGGGAATGCTTTAGGGGCCTCGGAATTTTTTTCCCCTTGACCAGCCTGGCTTTTGTACAACCTCGTGTTTTTTCTCACCCCTCTCCCTTCCAAACTCAGCCTTTCGGGCTATGCACCTGCACGTAAGTGAGGCAGCGGAGAAGCTGAAAGAGGCGCAAGCAGATATTACACGACGGGTCGTTGTTATAGCTAGGAAAGAGACGGTAAAATACGTATTTCGTAGACCACTAAGAAATTCAGCCAGAACGAATATTTTTGGAAACGTTTGCGCGCCCCAGCCCTAGCTTGGCAGTCCTCACCTGCTGGGTATTTTCCTCCCGGTGCGTGTGTGTGCGGGGCTGGGGGCTTCCCTCTCCAAGCGCCCGGTGGCTGGATGGGGTGACGGGAACAGGGGTCGCGCCGCGGGGGCCGCGTTGAGGCTCCTCGGGGGGCGCGCCGGGATTCTCCGGAGGGGGGAAACAGGCAGGACCCCCGCCCAAGGCTGCGGGAAAACCATCTTGATGGAGAGACAAAGGCCGGACCGTCCGGCGGGGCCCCTGCGGGAGGTGGGGGAACGAAATATGGTTCGGGAAGGGAAAGAGAAAAGTTTCACGGGAGGGGAATTATCATCATAATGGAGGTAAAAATGTGAGCAGGGGAAAGGAGGGGGGGAATCCTATTCTGCTGGCATTTTCTGTCTGTCTTTGTGATATGGTTCGGGGGAAAAAGGGTCCTTGATATGCGGCAGATAATTCTTATCAGCCCCACGCAGCCCATTTCCAAAGTAAGTGTTTTAATTACTCCTCCTGTATTACCCTTCATCCTCTGAGAGCAGATACATCACCAGATTTATGCAGGGGAAAATACAAAAGAATGAGGTATTAAAATATATACATATATATATATCCCCTCTTTTTTCCCTTGTGCCCAGGAAGAGGGAGACGCTGTCGTCAGACGCGCCCTGGGATCGCCCTGCACGAAACGACTCCAAAACGAGAAACTGTCACTCAGGTGGAAAAACTACAGGAAAAGTGGGGTTTGAAGGCTGCAGATTTTTCCCCAAGCAGGGACAGACGAGGGTGTCCCAGCGGGGGTTTCGGGGGGCTGAGACCGGCGGAGGCGCAGGGCTGTCACACGAGGCTCACCGCACCGTGCCTGCTCGCCGGCTGGCCTGTCCCGGGACATCCAGGGCCACCCCTCCACGTGCCACCAGAGGCATTTTTGGTCGGAGGGACAAGGTGTCACGATTTTCCCCTCACGCTCGCTGGAAGAGAAGGATGTTTTCCTTTGCTGTTTAGCTTTCGTACTAAAGATGTCATCTGAAAGTCTGGGAGGAAGGAGGGAGCGTGTTCTGCTCTCTTCCACGGTAACAACCATATTCTGCATATTGAAAAATATGATAGACAGTTGAAGGCTTTTTTCCTTCCTCCCACCACCCCCCCCCCCAAAAAAAAAAAAAAAAAAAAAAAAGAACCAACCTTTTCAATATTGATTCAACAAAAAAAGAGGGAGAGAATTTAAAAAGAGAAGAAGCAGCACCGGCAGCAAGGAGAATATAGGCTCAGCAGCTCTCCAGGTTCGCTTCCTTATTATTACTATCCAGGGGTAATTTTTCATCTCTGCTAGCTAATCTTTGTTCCTTGTGAAGATAATGAATAGCCCAATCCTTATCTCCTGGGCTCCTGGAGGCTGCTGGAGAATGGGGTTGAACAGGGTTGAAAATTGGTTCCAAAGTGCTGCTGAATAAATGGTGTTCCTTATCTCTCGCTTCCAGATTATCGGAACCCTTTCAAAACTCACACAACAAATACAGCCACCGCATCTAATGCATCATTTACCAGAGCAGATCTCCGCGTTTGATCGGCAGATAGGCAAAATCTATGTATTCCTTGCTTTACTCAGTATGCATGGATGCGGGGCTGCTGTGCACGCAGGGTGCCCCCGGCCGGGCCTGGGACACCCCCGAGGCTCTCAGCACATGCGGGTCTTTGCTGTGGATTCCTCGGAGTGACAAGAGTGTCCCCTGCCCATCCCCGATCCTGCTGCATCCCCGTGCAGCACCTTGCACGGAGCAGCCCACCGTGCAAGGTGCTGCCATGCAGTGCACTTGGGCATTTGGGGTTGCTCTGCTGGGGAACTGGTGGGTTTGCAGGGAAAGGTGAACAGTTGTGAGCATCATCCTGGGTACACCAGGCACCTGCTTTACACTCCCACTCCTGCACCCACAGTTGCATTCACCCGCACTCACGAGCGGTCACTGCTCCAGGAGCCCCGGCTGTCTGGCAGCATCTCTGCCACTTCCAGGCTCAGCTGTGTCCTAGTCCTGCCCCAGCCCTCAGCAATCTCAGGGCCCAGCTGGATCAATCTCGTAAAACCTGCCAGTGGTCCCCCCAGCTTATTCTCCCCTAACCCTGGCCACAGAGCCCAGCCAGCCCCTAGGGTTCCAGCCCTCACAGTAGGTGCTGGGTGATCCCTCCACACCCCAGCCATGGCCAGAACAGGGCACATGGGGCAGCCTAAATTTGGGGAGCAATTGGTGATCCTGGGGGAGAAAAATAAACTTCACAGAAAGGAAGTCTTTGCTGCTAGAGTTAGCATGAAGTCCATCCCTTCCAGCTCAGGGCAGTATCAGGTTTACTCCCTTCCTTTCTTTCTCTCTTTGTCTTTTCCTCTCTTTTTCTTCTCTTCTCTTCTCTTCTCTTCTCTTCTCTTCTCTTCTCTTCTCTTCTCTTCTCTTCTCTTCTCTCTTTCTTTCTTTTTTCTTATTCTCTCTCCTTTTCTTCCTTTTTCTGTTTTTTTCCCTCTCAAAATTCATCTATCTAATAGTAAATGCCTCCCAGTCTGGCCATGCAGCCCCCAGCTCCAGAATAGAAGATCCCCAACCCAAAGCCAGGAACAGATGTCCCCTAGGTTCTCACCTACCCCTTCTTTCTCTGGCAGCACCTGAGCCTGTGCCCAGGTACCAAACAAGGCATCATTTTATTCTATGCCACCGCAGCTCATTCCCCGTGTCACTGGCACTGCCCTGGACCACCAGCCCAGGGGCCAGTGAGATTCTCGGCTGGGGACAGGACACCCACAGTGTCCTGGTCCCCTCTGCCTGGCCAGCAAAGCTCATCTTTTCTCTGCCTGGAGAGAGAGAGAAACTTGCATGGGAAGTTGCGGGCAAGCAGCAACCCCAGCCAGCCCCAACCCATGCTTGAGAGTTTTGCAAATGTTCAACTTGTACTAATTTTTTATGGCTGTATTCACAGTTGTTCCCTGTAAAAAATGGACCTGTGTTAGTTTATTAATAACCTAAACATTACGTATTAAAGACCTATGAGTGACACAAGATGACAAAAAGCTGTATTTTTCCAATATACACAAGCACACATTTAATAACCTTCTATTGCATCTCAGCTAGGCCTTCTCTCTGATGGTTCCCATGGCAACTGAGATAAAAAAGCAGCCATTTTCCATATCTCTATGAAAGTCTATTATATTGCAGGATTAGTTCATCTTCTGCTAAGGTCAAACACAAAGTCATACAACCTGAAATATTTAGAATCCATGTACATTCATTTTTTTATATGCCCTTTCATTTTCCACAAAAGACTGGGCTCCTCTGAGGTTTTATTCCCCAGAAAATGCTAAGCAAAGCAATAAAAAAATCATGATTAGCAGCTGATGAAAAGTTCAATTGTTTTTTTTTCCCTTCCTTTTTTTTTTTTTCCCTTTAAAAAAACCCCTCACTATTGTTGGGCAGATAGTGCCTTCCCCATTTATCTCTATCAGCAGCCGTGATTGCAGGCGATACCGGCCGCCTAATTGGGCTGGGAGCGATTCGCAGGCGGACGGCGGCACCTTCTGGCAGCGGCGGGTGACACACGAAGGAGCTGGGTCAGCCGGGGGTGTTTGGGGCCGCCCCCCCTCAGCATCCCCCCGCTGCGGACCCGCGGGGGCCGGGGCAGGAGCCGGGCTCGCCCGAGGGCTCCGTGCGGTCCCCACCGGGGTACCCCATGGGTGCGTCCCGGGACGGCACCGCTCGACTCTGCCGCACCCTAAAAATTAATATAATCTCACTGCGGGCTTGCAACCACCTCAAGAGTCTGTATCTGCTTCTTCCCGCGGTGATTAAACATTTTTACTTAGTAGTGCAGGTGCCCTTTCACCTGCAAGTTTCAGCTACTGCGTGCCTGCAAAAAAAGATGTGTTGTGCACATCCAAGTTGCTCCCGTGAGCCCCAGTCTCCAGCGTGGTGTGGAGAGGGAAAGCAAAGTCACTTTTCTTTTTTTTATGAAGGAGTTGGCAACGTAATTCAACTGGGTCTTGGTGACACCTCGAAATGCAATAAAATAAAACCTGGGCAGCCTTCGGACAGTTTGAATGGTGACAAACATGTTATCGCCCATGACATGAAGAACTACGGCTCGCTCTTTTTCCAAGGTCACTCGAAAACCTGGAAAATTAGGGGAGAGAATTTGTGCATGCAGCCATTCACACTTGTGGCTTTGTTCACAGATACCTGTTTCAATGTGACATTTATTCCAGCCTCTTTTAATGTGGAAAAATAGATACTCTGGAAATATGTGCAAATGGGAAGAAGGACTGAAGAATACTTTTTCCCTTCCCATCCCTCCATCTGCAGGGGGCCCCACAGGGGTGTCCCGGTGGCTCCAGCCATGACATTGGAGCAGCTCAGGGTGGGCCAAAAGAGGGGGTTAGCATTCCTGTCTGTCCCTGGAGATGACCTGCACCTGCTACAGAGAGGTTGAGTGGGAGTGGAGAACAGGAGCCAGAGTGGGCAAAGGCAAATCCCAGCCTGACCCTCCATCCCCCTGCTGCCTCAGCCTCTGACAGCCTGGGTGAGGTGGGTGGCACAGGGCACACAGATGTTGTCAGAGGTTGGAATGTACCCAAGGATGTTTTCAATAAGTTGTTTGCAGGTAGGTGTTGCACAGTAGGGGCCAGTGTCATGCCCACCTCCTAAAAACAAGCAGTAGCCCCTGCTCTCAGCAGCACACCTGGGAGGGGAGTGCCAGAGCAGCTTCCCAGCTGGTGACCTGCTCACCTGGGGCACCTGTGCACCTATAAAAGCCCACACCAACACTCTCCTCTTCCTTTGGTCTCTGCTGGCTTCTGCTCCTTTTGGTGGAGGGCAGACAGCTGCATTTTTAGGACTAATACAAAGCTATGTATTTTTAAAGCTTGGATCCTGGGATTTGGATTTTTTTGCCCTGAGCTGGATGTTTGAAGGATGAGTTCAGAGCATCACCAAACACAGGTGGGTTTCTTTTTTAAGTCTTATGGTTTCTTTTCTCCCCTGCTTCATCCTTGCCATCCTGGTCAGCAGTTGACATGGTGGGTGCCCTTCTGAAGTTTGCAGCCCTGAGAAAGCCTTTAGAAATCTGGGAGTAACTATGTCCTTCAGCTAAAATGGGGTGTTCCCCTGCCCAGGGTGTTAGCACCCTCTTCTTGGGGTAGGGGTGTTGGTCTTTCTTGTGATGTTTGCTTTCTTGTGATTGCTGCTGTTGAGGTAGTCAAGGGCTGAGTTGCCCCAGTGCTGGCAGTGTGGATGTTATGGGTGGGGCTGTGACAGAGTTCACTGTGAGCATTCCTGTTCTCCAGCAAGTGGGAATGTTTGAGTGCTGGTGCCCACTGGGGCTGCTGGGAACTCCTCAGAGCTGTGCTGGGTGCTGTTCAAACCCAGCATGGAGCAAAAATGGGGGAAAAAAGAAACCAAGTCCCCTTTGGGCTGCCAATATTTAGATTATTTCCAGTGGCCAGTTACTGCTGAGGGAAGCCTGGAGACACGTGGGGCTGCTGTCATGTGGCTTTTTGCAGGAGCAGGGTGGCTGCTCACGTGTGGGAAGAAGGGGCTCCTTCCAGTCCCAAGGGCTTGGGGAGCTGACGGTGCCACTGAGGGGATGCTCTCTGCTCCCCTCCCCCGTGAGCCCAATGCTGTGTGGATTGAGATTCAGGGCCATAGTGAAATGCCCCAGTTTGGCCCCTGGTTGTTTTTCTGTCTCTCAGTGACATCTGGTACATTGCTGTGAGTTCCCAGAAAGAGGCCCTGATGGAGGATGTCAGGGTAGGAAGAAAGGAGCTGACCTTGCTATTAAAAGGCAACAGAAATGGAAATGTTTCAGGCTGTTTCTAGCAGACGTCTCTGGGAAGAAAATCTCCTTGCTGTGCTCTGTCAGGCCCTCATGGGCAGCTTTTCTCTGCTAATTGTTCACTTGATACTACACTGGAGATGCTTAATTTATCCTTGTCCACATTGCTGCACCTGAAAAGATCTTGTGGAGTTTGAGAAGGATTTAAGTCCTACTGATCCCTCACGACTTTGTACGTTTCTGGTCTTATAGTGACACCAACAGCCCCGATGCTCTCAGATCAAAGATGCTGGTCTCAAGTGGGAAGAGTTTGGGTGCAGATCTTGCTTTGAGTCTGAAGCAATCCTGTTGAATCC